AATTAACCTCACAGACTGCGCTATAACAACAGGGAAGAAGAAAGTCTCCTCGATTTTTCGTAATTATATACAGGGTATCTCATGTTTGAAGTATACAAATTTATTCGTGTAGTATCTTCATTGCACAAAACTGTTTTTCCAACTTCATTGTATAAAACTGTGCGTCCATGTAATAAAAACAGTTAAAAAGTGTCGTATGAAATATGTAGAAAGTAATGAAAAAGCGTTTGAATTGTTTGTGATATTTTGTAAACTAATCATTTTTTTACCACTTTACCCTAAAAATTGTTTACATAGAATGACGAAAGGATTAAATCTATGTAACGAACAAAAATGTATTTTTATTTAAAAAATGAATGCAACTATCAAATTGCTGTCATAAAAAAAAAAACACTTTGAATCATTCATCTTTTCTCTTTGACATTTTTCTCTGAATGTACTCATAACGAAGTTTTAACTTGTTACACTTGCTTGGCTCATCTTCTGTATTAAACAGATAGAGTCGAATAATTAATTAAAATGTAGTTCTGTTTTAAAGTCGATTGTCTCGTTCTTCTGAAATCCGGTTATACAAACAGTTGTCATAATACTCGACCAAGCTAGTTAAATATAAATGCATAATAGTAAAATAAAAGGTTTGTGGATCAAAAATTTATTCAACCTATATTTCCTATATTATATATAACCTATATTATTTCAACCTAATATTTTTTATTTCTATATTTCAGATAGTTTCGACTATCCCGTCAGAGTTTAGAGAGACTCGACGTACGATATACCGTCTCAATTCAAAATTTCGACAATGTACTTCGAATTGAATAATTGGAGCGACGTCGCGGACTTCCGTCTACACGAATTATTCCAAGCTAGCGTAAATTGAGGCGGGAATGCTTCATGAACGACCTGAAAATCGATAGAGGCTCGTTAAATCTACTTACACGAGACATTTCGTCCGAAACGGCTGTGCACCTTCAACAGAAAGCTCCAAAGAAAACCGGAGAACCGTTCCCCGCGATCATTGTCATTCTCTGAAGAATTTCAGGTGTGTTTACGTAGTGTCCTTGAAACTATCTGCCCGAGGACCCTCTCTAATCGCCTAACCAACCGTAGAACGGAAACTCTTTTCTTTAAAATTTGAAATAGGACACGCGAATAATTTTGCGTACATCTTTCACGCTCGTGTTCCTTGTTTTTCGTATTATTTCTACGCTTTATAAAATACTTCGCTCGTCCTTCAAACCGAATTACGAATTTATGCAATCATCTATTTAATAAATTAGTGTAAGCATTTGAGCTTAAATTGCAAGGTTATGATGAATTTTACAAAAGGTGTTCCAGAATTCAAATGTGTATAGATTCATCCCTGAAAATTACGACCATTAATTCTTTTCTGTCTTGTGTTAAAGAAGAGCCGAAATTAACGTTGGACACATTTAACCTCTTGAGAGATATTGACACATATGTGTACACTTGCTTTTATATCAAAATTACAGTTATTCACCACCACGATATCTTTTGGAATTCAAAAATATACAATATTAAAGCGAGGCAGCATATTTTCATGTTAAGATCGATTCTCAGATAGCGACTGCTTTGGTTCGTGTGTATTTGGTAAAGAAAATCCATTTAGAATTCGTTCCTCAAGAGATTAATAAGGATTAAAGTATGCTTGCAGATGCTACAATTACCCATATCATTTTATATAGCTCGGCAAGCAATATGTATTATTTACCTCATTTAAATCGTTTTGCCTTTAGCGCCAAGATATAATGCAGATGTGTAATCTAGGTTATTATTTTGATAATAAAAAATGATATTATATTTGTTGTTCTAGAAAGAAAATTTACGATTTCCTTTTGCAATAATTCGTGACTCAAAAGGCTGTAAACTTATCCTTTAAATAATTGCAATCAATATAAACTACGAGTTGTAGTTGGCAGTTAATGAGTTATTTATACCTCGTTTGTTGTAATGTTATGATTTTATTACCAGCGCTATTAGAGAAAAATACCGTAATAAAGATGAATGGTTCAAAGAGTTATGTTTGCAAGACAAAATTTTCTTTTTATAAATACAATGAGTAGTATTAAGCTGAAGTATTAAAAAAGAATTAATTATATTGTGTCACAATAATTCGTGACACAAAAGGCTGTAAACTTATCCCTTGAGTAATTGCAATCAATATAAACTACGAGACGTCTCGTAGTTGGCAGTTAATGAGCTATTATGCCTCGCTTGTTTTAATAAATACGTAAATAAATTAAATAATTCATCTTACATCAGTTAATGAATTTTGCTACTGACAACGATGCCATCTGAAAGTTTCTCTAACAATAACGTACCGCCCCACAGAACTGAACAAAACTGATAGTCAATGGAGAAAGTTGTCTAAGAACTCGTTTTCCTCTGACAATGCACTCGTTAGTTTAGCAAGTAGCTAAGTAAAGTTATTTTCGAGATTCCGGGGGAATCCACCGTTCTGGCGGAGCCGTTTCGTAAAACGGCGGTTAGAAATGTCAACAGACAAACCAGTTGCCATCGTGGAACTAGATCCGAGCAAGTAGCCGTTGCCAGCCACAAGATTCTAGAATTATTATTATTCGGATAAGGCATTCCTTTATTATTGATATAGGAAGCATAAATGACGAAAATCTCGCTGGGATATATCGTGTACTTTCTCTTTTTAAAGCACATTATTTAAAACAAAAACAAAATTTAAGATGCCCAGAATGATAATCCTAATACTTATTCAGCTTCAAAATTAGTTTGATATAAAACATCGAATAACATGTTTTGTTATTATAAAATAATTTATTTATTTACATTAATATATCGTGTACTTTCTCTCTTTAAAGAACACTATTTAAAACAAAATCAAAATTCAAGATGACCAGAATCATAATGCTAGTACTTAGTTATAATGTATAATTATAATTCATTAATATAAAATATATAATACAGTATAAAACATCAGATAACATGTCTTTTTAACTGTAAATTAATGTACTTACTCGTACTAAATGAGAATGATATAATAAAGTATAATAAATAAAATAGTATAAAACATCAAAGAACATGTTTTTCATTATAACATGACTCACTTTTTCGTAGTAAACGAGCCGTTTGTTTTGAAGGTGATGCACGTGATTTTTTCCAAAAAATCAAATTATTCTAACATGAATTATAATTTAACGATCTCTATGTAACTTTTAAATATTTCGATTTAGAAACAAGGTGACTTTTGCCACTTTTAAAATGAACGTTTCATATAGTATAGTGCAAAACACCATATAATATATTTTTGTATTATGCAATGATTTACATGCTCATAATAAATGATTAAAAAATATCGCACCATGCATAAAGAGCTAAGAAAAAGGTGAAACGGTTTTCAACCCATCTATCCCAAAAAGTTATTCTACGGTGTTTTAGCTCCTTTTCGTGATCCGAGTATAAATATCTTTAACTAAAGAGGAAAATATAATTAAAATAAATGGTTTTGTGAAATCTAGATAAATTAAGATCGTAGGAGTAACGATTAAACTTTTTAGTTCGTTAAAAGATCGGTCCTGATCGAATTCCCATTTCCAATCAACTGATTCGGATATACATTGACTTCCCTAACACTTTCTGGATTCGGTTTTACTCAATTTTCTTCAATTCCTAATGAATATATTAAACCATGTTAAGTCAACATTTCGTCAACTCGGGATCAAATGTTCATTAAAGCATTGAATTGACTTTACATCATTCGTCGCTACTTAAAATATTCAGTTTGCATAATTTAGTATAACACAGTTCGTCTTCGAGGTACAGATACGAAAAATAGAAGAATCCAAGTATTAGGTTGCCCTAAAAGTTTCTTCCACTTCAGTAATAAGTAATACATACATAATATTTTATCTCTAATGTTATATTATTGAATTGCACACGATTCATTTTGCTCCATTTCTGTTACCATATTAGCGTCTAAGAAATTACGTTGTCTATTTATATGAACAGTGCCACACAAAATAACTAAATGCAAATCACGAAAGAAACTTTTGGGACAACCTAATATATATGACAACTCGGTGAACAGAAGAAGGCAATGAAGAATCGAGGTACGAGATTACTACAGAAATTTAAAAGTAAGGAGGATGGCGCACGCAAACGGGCCCATAAACCTCCTAGGAATTTGAAAATGTAGGCATTTAGTGCATAAATCGGTGACAACTTCCAAAACGTCACCGAAAATAACTCTTTGGGGCACGGTGAAATTAAAAGTGTCCCACCTTTTTGATGGACCGTAATGCATGGTGGGACATTTTTAATCCTACCTCGAAATTTTGCAATAGCTGCATGTGTATAGCTATATATTTCGTCTTATTTATGTAAAGCAGTTGGTAATACATTCATCCAATGTTACGAATGTATCCACTTATGTTGGCAACTTTCAACATGCTAATACCGGTTCAACAATTGTTGTAAGCGGAAGGTTTATCGCGATAATATTTCTTTCCTGGTTATATGTGAAAAATCGTAGATGTAAGTTAATTTATATAAAAATTAGTTCTATATAAACAAGCGAAGTGTTTTGTAATAAAAACTAAAGATTAAATTTGTTTGCAAATGATGAAAGTATGGTGGGATTTTATTCGTCCCACCATGCAACTTGGGGAGTAATACAAAAAGAACATATTTTTATTTATTGTTTATGTTTTAATATTCTTAAAACTATAAATGTGACGCCCCTTGTTATTACATTTACTTTGTTACATTATGCGATTAATAAAAATATAACGATTTTGTTTGATTTAAAACGCAATAAAATTCCTGTGCAACATGAATCTATTTTATGACCTGAATTTCTGTGCCGCAAAGAGATAAAGTACACAACAGCCTCTATCAGATTTCGGTAGCTTTTGATCTCGCGTATGTCATTATGGAACAGGTGCGTTGGTCACTTGTCCAGGTGTAATCGCGATAGAGCTAATAGAGAATCGAGAATTGGTCCATACCTTAGTGTACAATTCCCTCGTAGTCATCGTTTCGGAGCACACACGCGCACACTTGAGCACAGATAACGACTAAACCGACGACAGTCGTTTGATCGTGTAAAATCGTTCGTGCTACGAGCACCGCGAGTTTACCTCGGTGCCACGGTACATCTCGGTGTCACTTGAGGTACGGTCACGGCATGTTTACGTTTTTATTTTTATTTCCTTCTTGCCCCCCCCCCTGGTTAGCCTTGTTTTTCGTCACGCTCCGATCGCGGGCCACACAAGGCTCGACGGGCTACGATCCCTCTATTCGTCTCCACGTAGGGTTGTTTTTTCGCCGACGTTTTTCGAAACTCTACCGTGCGAATCATCGACGGTCCCGCAACTGGAAAAAATAGATTTTCGCGATAGTCGTACCTCCACGTAAACGTCGCACGACGGCACTGCCACCAGCTGGTTCGTTATCGGGCTTAGATTCGGCGCCCCTCTACGTCACCTCTCGCTCGACCTCTCTTCGAGCTCGAGAATCGAAGCGTTCCTTCTCCCCCTCCTGTTTACGCGCGGGCGCTTAGCGTCGCGCTGTCTCCCTCCGATGATCGAACTAAGCGTTTCACGCCATCTCACAGGGGAATCGGAAAACGACGAGGATTCGTCGTCTATACCGGTGTCGGGCAAAATTTTACCCGATTATCGATCAACGATATCGATTACCGTTTAAGAGGGTACCCTGAATTAGGAGGTCTAAAAAAAGCGGTTGTTCGTGAATTTTTTTAGGATGGAAAAAAATAATTCATTCGACCGATCTTTTTATTCTATTTTCGTACATATTTGAGTAGTCTGTAGAAATTTGTTCAACGAGAAATATTCAAATTGAGTCGAGCGTGACGCACATTTGTAGAGCACCTCACAATTGAAACCTCCTATCGGCGGGAAAGATGGGTGTCGTAATTTTGGTTCGACATAAAAAAACTAAAAGAAATTTTCATTTTCATACATTTTCCTTCTGTGTGAACTAAGAAAAACTCGCAAAAATTGTAAAATGTGAAATTACTGCAAGTTTGAAAAAAAGAACGAGTTCTTTGGGTGAAAAAAAATCACTTTAACTTGATAAAAAAGTTGTTTAACATTCTTTTTTTGTATGAATTTTCTTAGTTCACATAGAAGGAAAATGTATGAGAATGAAAATTTCTTTTGGTTTTTTTATGTCGAAACCAAAATTACGACCACCATCTTTCCCGCCGATAGGAGGTTTTCATTGTGAGGTGATCTACAAATGTGCTTTGCAGTCGACTCAATTTGAATATTTCTTGGAAAAAAGATGTACAGACTACTCAAATATGTATGAAAATAGGATAAAAAAGTTCGATGGAATTAATTATTTTTTTCCATCCTACAAAAATTCACGAAAAACCGCTTTTTTTAGACCTCCTAATTCAGGATACCCGCTTAAGGGGTAAAACCACTCTAGGATTTTCAAAAAATAATTTTTTTCTTCTTTTTGCTTAAACGATACTTTAAGTTCATAAAGATAATACGTCATTTGATTTATAGTGAAAAAGAAATGTTAAAAGGTTCAATTTCCATGACTCATAGATGCCAAGAAATCCGTCCTTCCGTGGCGGTGTTTTCAAAAAAGTGTAACAGCTATTCTCCCGTTTTCCGACGACGGATTCTGTCGCCGCCATTTTGTATGAAAATGACAATAAAAAAATTATTTTCCGTTCTTCAATATGTGTTAAATAAACCCTCTGAAAGGAAATTCTATTCTATTTGTAACACTCCCGAAATAAATTGTTTAATTTAGGTCTTTCTTTCTGCCTCTAGAGTTTACCTCTTAATCGAACCGTGAATCATAGTTATTGATTGTTGGTGGATTTTGTTTGCGATTGAATCAATTAGTTAGATGGTCTGAAAAAAGTGCATACTTGTGAATTTTTTTTAATAAACGGAAAATTTTTTGGTAATAAGTTTTAGGATATTGGAATTAACGCTTTTTAGTGCATGTGTTGCAATTTTTGTATTTAAAAATATCTGAAGACATTCGCGAACGGTAGATATTTATCTAATATCATTGATCATAATCGGTAGATGATGTGTAATGGTGTAATCATATTTGAAATAATCGTACGTCTTTACATTCCGTTGACGTGAATAGTTTAGAAATACAACATTGTTATTGTAGAAACACAAGATCATGCGTGTTCATAATCTTACATCATTTTCATAATAAATATTTATCTCATTTTGTTTACCAAATGGTTAAAGTCGACTTTATTAATTTGAAGTTGTTCTTCTTCTCTTCCTTCCCGAAGCGACACCAAAATAATTTCATGTAAAACCAACCCTAATAGCAATTAAAAAAACAAAATAACGTCGCGGTTTTTCCGGATTCCGCTGTCAATATGAAACGTTACATTTTACTTGTCGCTCACAGTAACACGTTAACCGTAAAGTCAACGATGAATCTTTAAACCGCGACAAGAGGAAAACTAATTTCAGTTGTAGTTAGCAGTATGACATATCAGTGACGGCAGGCAATCGTATCATGGCATTCTTCCAATTAGTTCTGAAAGCCAGGAAACTCGAAAAAGCGAGGTTAAAGTATGAGGATGAAAAACTGACGTCTATCGCCATCGCGAAAGGTGCCAAGGCCCGATTCACTTTAAGCCAACGACTTCGTCGAATCAAAATACGGTGAGATCCGAAATTCACGTTCCTGCCAAACTATGTTTAAAACTTTGACAGTCCACAACAAAAAGATATCACGCACCATATTTTCGAGTTATTCTTATTTTATAGCAAATTCGTTTCAATAACTTGTACGATTTTCAATAAAGATCTAGAAATTTAGGTGGACAAAATAAAAGAACACTTTTAAAGAGAGTCTTCTTAGTTGTACAAATATAAAGAATTGGTATTAGTGTAATATTTCATAGACTACCCTTTTATTTCGAAGCATATTTACCTTTCATTTTTATTGTAGCATCTACATGTATTTTATAATTTGTTTAGTTAGACATTGGTTAATTGTTTTATCGTTTTGTGCTTAAGCTTTTATGTTAAATGTATAAATGTGTACTGTTCTCTTTATTAAATTATTAGCGATTAGAATAGCTGTTACACTTATCGCATTTACACTCCTGCATTTTTTAATAACCATTTAATCTATGATACCGTCAATCTTAATATGTAAATTAGAAATACACACTTTGTCCAACATCCCCATTTTTTTCCTTCAAAACGACAAAATATTCTTTGCTTCCCCGAATGCCTCTTGATCAACAGCATGTCTATAATAAAAACATTAAAATACAGGTACAAGTTCTTTTAACTATTAATTGGGCACAAAGTTGATAAGCGATCTTTTTGTCGCGGAATTTTTGCTCGAGCTATTTCCGCAGGTTTAAGAAGAAGGTTAAGACGTTCTGTGGGAAAATCTTCGCCGTCCCAAAAAATCTTTGGCCATGCAGAAAAATCGTCGCGATCTGTACCAGCGGCACTTTGGAGAATTACATTGCGAAGAGCTTCCTTGGATTTATCGGCGGAATGTTTCTCACGTACATCTTCTTCGCATTCTTCGTTCTTCAACTAAATTTCAGGCTCTCGACGGCAACATTTCTTTGCACGGTGATAGGTGTAATCCTCACTCTTGGCTTGGCGTTTTCTCCTCGAATACGGTGAGGAACAAATTGATTTTACAATCTGCTGCAGCGAATTTACATCGTGCATCGCTGTAGTAAAGACTAGCGACCTTAACCATGGTGGAAACACATATAATGAGAGCAGTTTCTCCCGCGAAATATTAGATTGTCCAAACGTTTATTTCGCGACTTATACTCAATTGTTTTCTCATACTACTTACAATGATAATGGCAAAAATATGTACATTCACTTCAAATGTCGCGTATATCGAATAGAAGATTAAATAAATGGAAGTTAGAAAGCAGCTTCGACAGACAGGTAATGATAGAAAATAGATTTCGATTCTTTTTAACCCTTTTCTAAGAGTGTTTATTTCTAGATTCAACAGGTGAATAATGTATACTTGAAAGAAGACTTTGTCAGTTAATATTTCAGTCATTCGTGCTATATTCATTTTGTACTTTACTTTTTGATATTTTTGGGATTCTTAGAGAAAAAGAATATATACTTTAAATTACTCTTTATCAGCTGATATTTCAGTCAGTCGTGCTATATTCATTGCGTATTCTACATTTTGACTTTTTTTAGGTCTTTCTTAAAAATATTTATATTAGGTTGTCCCAAAAGTTTTATTCGCGATTTACACTCAGCTGCTTTGCTTACGCTCGGTGTTTATATAAATAAACAATCTTATGTGTTAGAAGTTGATGGTATCCTTTTCCTTCATCGCTTAACTATCGTGTAGTACATTTCATTCGCATTCAAACACAATTTCGTACGCCTTTAAGTATAGAAAATCAAAGAAAGCATTTGCAACAAGTAATGTTGCATTCTTTTGAAAAACGTAACAGTGCCAATGATACTGTGCTGGTAATTTTAATCTGGAAATTGAAGACCGTAGCAGCCGACTTTTTTTTTTTAGGACACCCTTCATTGAATTTAGACAACTTTCTATGCTCGACAAATTCAACAAACAAGAGATATAACGATAAAATTAAAATATTGAATTTGTTTCATACCATTCGCGTTTGAGTAAAAAACAAAAATCTGAAATCTTCTTTGGAGATTCGATTATTTAACTTGGGAATGAAGAATGCATTATACACAAGTATAAAGTTTGAGATCGATAGGCTTAATAGATTTCTTTGAAAATTAATACATGAAAGGAGGCTGAAGCTGTCTTTAGACCACACTAGCTCTGCCCCATAGCTGGTTTTGACACTAAAAATCTACCTTGGATGTAATTGAATGGTCAGTTACACAGATTTTTCATTTTAGGAATGATGAAAAAATCACATTTTTTTTTTGCAATTTCCGTAAATATATTTCGAATATGTATCTAGAGAATATTTAGTTAAAAACGTTTATGCACACGTCCATACATTTTTCTCATAAATTGGAATGTATATATCGTTTTTTACACTTTTTGAGTCACTCAATTTGCGTCACATTGATTTTTGAAATAGGAAACATATAATTAATGTAAATGCATTATATTTTTGTAATAAAAGTCAAAATAATAAATTATTTGTACGGAAAACTGATCTTATTTTATTTCTTGAATTGTTAATTAAAAGTAATTATAGTTTTAAGGAATAACTTTTATATAAAAAATGAAATGCTAATACATATTCGAATGCACCTGAAAACATTAGTCACTTGGCCTCCTGTTAATTACCTCATGTTCTCTGTTGATTATGAAAATATATCTTCCATTGTTCGTTGTTTATTTTTAGAATGAGATACAAAAGCCTCGAGTTTTGGTGCGCATACGCCATTAATGAAAACAAAATTTCAATTTTCCATCTGTACATAAATAAAATGAACAAATCAAATAAAATTATACTATTAAATTATA